TCCTAAACCCAGGGAAACATATGGTAGCTGACTAAAAAGGAGGGCATGAGAGGAAACACATGGGTAGCCAGGGGAACAGGGCACTAACTCACCCAAGAGGAGGGTGTTTATATCTCCACAGAGAAAAAGGGAGTAGACTTCAACCTGGTGCTCTAAGACAAGAACGCAACACACTGGCATGAAGCAGGGAGCCAATCAAGAGGCCTGAGGAGCAGGCCCCATTACCAACTAAATGGACAAGTCCCCCACCTCCCAGAAGAATTCATTTCACAGGATACCCCTGAAGCTACAGCTCAAGGAGAGGGAAGTGTCTGAAAAGAGCACCCAGGAGCAAATGAGGCAGGAGGAAAAATGTGTGAAGTACATCCTGGATCACCAAGCTCTGAGGACAATATTTCTGCTCAGAGCAGGCAATTCACAGAGAGGACCCACAAGCCCGGCCCCACCATAAGGCACAATGTTCCTCACTGACTGATAGCACCATGGGGGACAACGCTGGAGACACAGGGTGTGAATTGTGCCTGCCCTGACCCCACCACACCAAGGAGACATACTGGGGAAGTGCAACAGAGCGGCAAGGGGAGCAGAACAATGAAGTCCCCAGGGAACACCAAAAAAGTATATGGGGCCAGGGCATGGCACACTATCAGACTGGACTAGAAAACACTCTTAAAGTACAACAAATAGACCTTGTACTATTTATAGGCTTTTCTTTTTGTCTTTTTTTTTTTTTTTTGCTTTGCCTTTTTGTTGTTGTTGTAGCTATTGTTTTATTTTCTATTGTTGCTTCATTGTGCTTGGTCTTATGTTTCTGCATATTGTTGGTGCTGCATGTCTGTCTGGATGGGACAAGCCAAAAGAGGGAACAATGGGATGACAGTTCCTGGGGGACATGGGAGAGGGGTGGCCGGGGAAAGGAAGTGGGTGTTAACAAAACCAGGGAAAAGGGAACAAGAAGTGACTGAAAATCGATGGCGAGGAGGGTGTAGGAGGTCTTCTAGGGCTTGATCAGGGGCAATTTAACCGAGAGGAATTCCTGAAACCCAATAGAAGGCTGAATATGATAGTGGGACAAGAGAAAAGTAAAAGGAAATAGAGGAAAGAACTAGGAGGCAAAGGGAATTTATAGAACTTTTAATACGGGAATGTACATATGTAAATATATTTATATATGACAATGGGGAAATAGATCTATGTACACATATTTATAGGTTTGGTATTAAGGAAGCAAGTGGACATTGGGCCTCCACTCAAGTACTCCCTCAACACAAGAACACTTTGTTCTAATAATCCGGCACTCTGAGATGCTCACCTTCCCAACACAATCACTGAAGACAAAGCAGGTGCATAAGCAAATGTGGTGAAGAAAGCTGATGGTGCCCAGCTATCAAAAGATACAGCGTCTGGGGTCTTAAAAGCTGAAGATAAACAAGCAGCCATCTAGCTGAGAATCAACAAAACTCACATGGAAGAAGCACCCCAGCCTGTGTGATCATGAGGTCGATGGGATCAGGTATCAGGCATCAAAGACCCAGAGCCAAAAATCATAATGTGAATGACGGGGGGAGTGCGGAGTTCAGGCCCAAAGCCCATCTGTAAGCAACTGGACATCCCCTTATAGAAGGGTCATGAGGAGAGAAGATGAGCCAGTCAGGATGCAATATAGCACCGATGAAACATACAGCTTTCCTCTGGTTCTTTAATGCTTCCTCCCCCCCACCCCACCCCACCCCAATATCATGACCCTAATTCTACCTTACAAATCTGGCTAGATCAGAGCATGTACATGGGTACAGATAATAGCTGGAAACTCAGGGAATACAGGACAGATAAACTCCTCGGGACCAATATTGTAAGTAGCCATACCAGGAGGATAAGGGGAAGGTGGGAGGGAGAAAGGGGGAACCACTCACAATGACCTACCTTTAACCCCTTCCCAGGGGGATGGACAACAGACAGGGGAGTAAAGGGAGACAGCAGACAGTGCAAGCCATGAAAAAAAATTATAAATTATCAAGGGTTCATGAGGGAGGGAGGGGAAAAAATGAGGAGCTGTACCAAGGGCTCAAGTTGAAAGAAAATGCTTTGAGAACGATGACGGCACCTTATGTACAAATGTTCTTGAGACAATGGATTATGATAAGAGTTGTACGAGCCCCCAATAAAATGATTTTTTTTTTAAAAAGGAGAAGAACGAGGAGGCTTATTTGTCAGTTGGAGACTAATTAACTCCTTAGAATGCGGCCCTTAGTCAATATGCAGGTCTGAAATTGAACACATCCCTGTGGCTCTAATTGCAGCTAAACAATAAATAGTTCTATAAGGTGTGATGTGTGCACACTCTAGAATAATCAATCATTTGTGCCATGTGATTTTACTTAATTTTTGTTCAATGTACTTGTTGCATGTTATCTCAATGTCTTGATGGTGCCATAAGAGAAATACAGTAAATGGTTTTAAAGGACCCAACTTATCTTTGCACATGCAGTCTGACTTCAGGGCGGCAGCTCTGTGGGAAGACTCCCTCTGTGAGGCCCCGTGCACGGGTGCTAATGCTGTCAGCAAGCTTGATTCTATACTTCCTTGGCATGTTTCTTCCCCCTGCTCTGCTGCCTTGTCTTGGGGTCTCTGCTGCTCCTTTGAAGTCAGAATGATTAGCTGTAGGGCACACCTTCCATGGAAATGACCTCATTAACATAAAAAAGAAAAACCGAGTCCCACCTGGAATTACATCCATAGGGGTTCTGATTCCACCTTGTGCTTTGGAATAGAGGCTGGGGAGAAGAGCTGGTGGGGGCACAATTGTCCCAACTGGAGTTCACCCCATCATAGATACTTCTCTGTGCAGGCACTTGATATACTTTGGTGAAAATCAGTCTTTACTCATTAAGCTGTGTTATTCAAAGACAATCTATAGAATGGGATAGAGAAAATAATAGAGAGGAACAATACTGAGAAAGAGAACAGTTAAGTTGTAATATATTAATTTTTGTTAAATTTTATACTATCCTTCTTTACTCTATGTTCATGCTGTAAAAAGAAATCAGTGTTTTTCCTTGTCTGCAGGTCTTAGTTAATTGCTTCACTTCTACATTCTACAGTTTTAAAAGATCATTTAAAATTATATACACTCTGATGGCGATCCTGACTATATATCCTTAGGTAATGGTTTCGGTTTTTACTTGATCTCGCTATGTTGGGTTTATTGACTTATTTTGTCACTACAAGTTAACAGTGTTTGAATTGATAAAAAGAACATGAATACGTGACTTCTGGCGTTATTTGTTCCTTTGTATCAGTGCAAAAAGTGACTAGAAATGACAAGCCTAACACCATTCTCTTCCTTACTCATTCAAGAAGCCAAGCCAGCCTATGTCTGGGAGCTAGAAGTACATAAATACATAAGTGCCCCTGGTGTAAAGGGTGGTAGTTTAAATGTACGCAGAGGTACCTCAGAAAAAAGGCCCGGCAATTTACTTTCTAAAAGTCACAGCCATTGAGCCCCCTTTGGAGCACAGGTTTATTCTGAAACACGGTGAGTCACAATCAGCTCAGCAGCAGCTGGCTTCTGGTTCAATCTAGAGTCCTGTCATAATTCTGTTTTAACAACCCCCAAATAAAGAAGGGAAGTGAAGAAGAGGAATTTCACCCCAATGGCATTTAATACTAACAGTTCCTACTCCACTAAAAATGAGAACTTTCTTTAGACCTGCTAATCCACCTGCTTGGAGTGCATGGTGCTCCTCAAGCCTGAGAGTGTTCAAGGTCAGTAGACATGGAGCTCTTGTCCTGGGGATACATTTTGAAATGACCCAGGGGTGGGGGGGGCGGAAGTTTAACTTGATGAAAGTAAAATGTGCAAACTTAACAGTTTCTGGATTATCATTTAATTACAACCATCAATCACTTCTCATCTGCTTTCTCCCAGTACCCAAAGGATGCAGGCTGAGGCTTTACAATCCAACCAATAGACAATATATAGTCCACTGTGGATCCTTGGGATGGGAAGCAATATTTTGGAAATTACCCTTTAGAAGGTCTTAGGAAATTACCTAACAACAGGATAACAGAATTCATCTTTTGACAAATACTAGAAAAATCCAAGAGTTAAAGCTATTCTTTTAATTAGTAAGATAAACACTTACTGCTTTTTCCTCTGTGCCAGTTCAAAGATTTTTCACTAAGTGGTGATTTTCAAAGGGCTTTGCATTGCAAATCATTTTATTTCAATCCATATTTTTACTAATGCGTGAAACTGGCCTGGAGTTGGTCATCCTGTGAACATGATTGCACACTTTTTTGAAATGAGGATCATTTTAAGTTGAACTTTTATAAATAGATTTGCTCCTTTAGTTGGCTCAGGTAAGGGGAGGTGGGGGTGGGGGGTATGCCAGCAAATGTCTTTATGGGAAGCTGTTACTTTTAGGGTTTCAAATATTTTAATTTCTTCTTATGGAGAACTTCATTCTGACTGCCTCAAATTCTGTAGCAAAGGAATTCAACAGCATTAGGCTTTTAAAGCTCCAATCTGTTCAGAAAAGTGTTTCCAATGTGGTAATCCCCTTGTCTTGCTGCATTTATCTCCCACCAGATACCTAAACGCTTCCCTCCTCATCTCAGGCAGATAATTGCAAAGGGGCTGGAACTAGAAGAGTGTCGAGCAGGTGCTGAGCAGTGGATATAAAAAGAAGTGGCACCCTCCTGGAAGCAAATAGACTCTCAGGGACTGTAATCTCGGCCCTTATTTATTTCTGAAACCATAAATGCCCAGGGGACGAGGTGCCATGTGTTTGACGGCAGAGATGGAGGTCTGCAGCCACATGTAGATTTTAACTGGATTTTGTTTTCGTACCCTGAATTGTAAGCCATCTTTTGGCTTGCACTTTTCTCTCTAAAAATCAATCTCACCCAAAGCGCATGGCTGTTTTTTTGTGTGTGGGTTTTTTTGTCCAAATAACAGCCTGCTCATTACTTGTTTTTTTGTTTTGTTTTCTCCCCAGAGTTCATCTGGTGATTTAATGATCAGAAACATTCAACTGAAGCACAGTGGGAAATACGTTTGTATGGTACAAACGGAGGTGGATAGCGTTTCATCTGCCACAGACCTCATCGTAAGAGGTAAGCACGGAGGCCTCGGTGTGTTTTGTTGTTTTTTTTAAACTTCTCCTCTGACCTGAGCTTACTGAAGTTGAAAACCATAATGAGATAGCACATGTGATGTCCGGTACTGATGGGCTTCGCTTTTCATCGACAAGAGCATGGGGGTAGGTGTTCATTTAAAGGGGTGGACATCTCAACTCTGCCCTTCAAATGGCTCACAACATAATTGGCATTCCACATCTGCTGCCAAGCTGAAGTGGTTTTAAGCATTTCGTTAACTCAGCAACTGTGTTTAATGTAAGAGGGAGCGGATGTGTTGTGTGGGCTCGTGGATGTGTTTACTTCCAGAAGAATCAGGATTCTTTGGAATGCCTGAGAAAATGTGTCAAACTGAGCTACTCTCTCCAGAGTACTGATTTTGGACTGGGCTGAAAACATCATAGAGTATGCACCATAGAGTGCATTATAGAGTCAAATCTTATCAATAACAAGTTCTAGGTGACAAACAAGGCAGTTCCCAAGATGCACCTGGTGTAAAGGGAAAGGCTTCAGGCTGAAGTAAAGACCATTGAACTTGGAAACATACAGAAAAACTGTTGGACAGAAAAGCTTCCAAGGGTGGGTGTCAGTGCAATCGTGGGCTATAATAGTTTGGGAATTAATGCCTCACAGAGTAAAATCTTTTTGACAGGATAGTGTGGGATGTAGGGAATAGTTTTATTGAAAAGTAAATGGCCTTTTTCCTAAGAACCACAGAAACTGGGATCATTTGGAAGTTTTGAAGTGGTTGTGTAATTTATTTGTCACTTTGCCATAAAGGGATGATTACTTCTAGAATTGTAGCCCTGATGAACAGAGTCCCAGATAAACAGCTGCTCCCTGAATAGTTGGAGGTTCCAGTCCACCGAGAGGTACCTCGGGAGAGGTGCCTCTGGCAGACAGCAGAGCTCCTTGGGTCAGCAACTGGCCTGGCTTCTGCCCGTATGTGTGAAGCAGTCCAGAAAGGCATTAGGTCTTAGGCTCAGAAATCAGGCTTATGTCATCGTCAGACTTGCTCTTTGCATGTTTTGCTGTCCTTAGGTTCACCTGGACCACCAGAAAATGTGAAGGTAGTTGAAATGACAGATACCACAGCCCAACTCTCTTGGAAAGAAGGTACAGACAACCACAGTCCAGTCATCTCCTATTCCATCCAGGCTAGAACACCCTTCTCCGTGGGTTGGCAAACGTTCGCAACAGGTAATAGCGGAGGAGGTAAATGGGGTTCAATTCAATGCTGAGACACACTGGTTCTGACATCTCTCAAATGATTCCTTTGTAGTGCCTGAGGTCATCGATGGAAAAACTTACACAGCCACTGTTGTGGAATTAAACCCATGGGTGGAATATGAATTTCGGGTTGTAGCCAGCAACAAAATTGGAGGTGGAGAACCCAGTTTACCCTCAGAAAAAGTAAGAACTGAAGAGTCAGGTTAGTGTTTTTGCTTTCTGAGTAATGGGTTGATAGGTTCCGTTGGGATGGCATCTCTCAGCCCAACAGGCCTGCACTGGCCTTTCTCTACAGGGAGCAGGGGCTCACCCCAGTAACACCCCATCACAGTTACCTGACCTTTCTAATGCAGAACCAGTGATGTGGCATTTGTCAGAGGCATGTGAATAAGTGATTCTGATGTAGTGTGATATTTCCATAAACTCAGACCATTGTAAATGATTGTGAGTGCATGTTGAGTGAATATGTTTTTGTCACTTAAAGTTATAATTACTATGTGACATAGTTACCCTGTTCACAGGGGAAGTACTGTTTTCATTTATAACAAGCATTGACAAATTGGTAGGATAATGACATTTGGGAGTTCTGCTGCTGGGAAATCTCCTTCTGCCACCAAGCTCTGTGAATGAACTTAAACGATTGATGAATAGGCATATTTTGGCCCTCCAAGTGTTAAATGAAGAAGGAGTCATTGTTAAAATTCTCCATGCAAAGCAATTATTCACACAAACTTTAGAAGTATTCTTTTACTTCTAAAGAAAATCTTCTAACATAAGCATGTAAAATCAGACAGTGTATAGTGCCTCACATCATTGAAAAATCTGGGGAGAGCCAAAGATTTCCCTTATCCCTTAGTTAATTAATATTAACTAAGAGTATGTGTGAAATAGATCTAGTATCACATTAGCATCTGAGCCAAGATCGGATCCATGAAATGTGGCACGCTAATTTTAATGATGCAATTTTACCCAGGACAATGCACATAATGTTTATGCTGGGTATTATGAAAAGTAAGGGAATCATATCTTTTTTGGTGTTCTGTTCATTTACTCACACACCATATACTTGTGTGTCTACCTATGTGCTGAGCACATCCTTGATTTTCTGGTATAGCTGAAAATGTGGCAAACGATGAAAGATGGTCTTTCAGGAACTTGTATTCTAGCAGTGTCAGGGAGTTGATAAGCCTTAAATTGTCAATGTAGGTTAAGAAATTTGATGCCTGTAATATTAGTAAAGAATACCTCATTGTGTCACCATTAAGGTTCACCCTCTTGAAGCTGTGCTGTTGCTTTGTTTTTTGGTAAATGGAACCCAGGGATGTTGAGCCTATAGGGACAGAAAATATAACAAGGGTTTCGTGGCAAAGGGTATAGAGAGAGGTGGGGGGAGATAAGAAGGAGACGATGCTAAGAAATCCAAGAAGGAAAAGTATCTTTGGAGACTGATTATGGAAGCAATTTTACAATTATGTTTGACATGATTGAACTATGGAATGATATGACCAAAACAAAAAAATCATAGATCCAAGAATGGGTTTGGGGCTCTCACTAAATCCTAGGTCCAACGTAAGAACATAGTAAGTTCTTACATCATGGCTCTGCTTGTTATTCACCTTCGTGAAATGATCACCGAAGGTAAGGGTGCTACAGTAAAGTATGGTAAAGAAAGTAGATGGTTCCCAGCTATCAATCATAATAATGTATTTAAACAAGCAACCATCTAAACCAGGAGTCAACTAAGTCCACACCAGAAAGTGTGGTCCAAAATTGGCAATTACAAAATTAGAATAGAGTGAAAAGTATCAGAGCTAAAATTATGAACTCCCAATTTGTGGA